CGGAAAAAGGGGTGAAATACAACAGGAATTTGAAAATCGAAATTTTCCAGGAAGAAGTAAAGGAAACGGAAACGATTCCGGTCATCGTGAAAGCTTTTTTCAAACCATCCCAAAAAAAACATTAAAAGGAAAATTTTCAATAATTTAAAAGAAAAAAAAAACCGTACAGAAAATGATAATGAACCTCATTCCCACATTTTCTAAACCTGGAAAATTACCATGAGGACGTAAAAATGATAATAATAATAACGATAAAATCGGCCGTTATTAATTTTTATAATTGATTAATTTAACAAAAAAAATCAATGAAAAGAGGGGGGGGGGAAATAAAACTTGAAAACCTTTTAAAATTTTACATTTTGGGAGAGAGGGACGGAATCACGGGGAGTGGAAGGGAGGCAAAAGGAGATAATCTCACTTTGTACGTATATAATGGAAAGTTACGCCTAAAGAAATTTTTTTTTTTTTAATTGAACGGGTTCGGGACAGAGTGTAAGAGAAAAACATGGGAAAAACCAAATGATTTTTAATTATTATTTAAGGGATGAACGACGGGGAAAGGATGAGGAATGGGAAAAGTGTAAATCGTAAAAGAATAAAACGGAAATAAAAAAATTTAATTTTTTTTTTTTTGATGGGTTTATAAGTTTTCACGGGTAAAGGTTATTTCTCGACAGATTTATTAACTGGAAACCATTTAAAAGGTTTCAAGGTTTTCTCCCATTTATTTTTAAAGGCGGTAAAGTGTAAAAAAAAAAAAAAAGGAAAAAGAAATCGCGTAATATAAGAAAGAAAGAATGAGAGGAAGAGAGAGAGTGAGAGAGGGAGAAATAAAAATAAAAGAAATAAAATCCAATGGAAAAGATTGATAGAAGAAAATTTAAAGGAAAACAAGAAATGGGTGAGGAAAGGGAAGGGAAGGGGGTAGAGAGGGAGGGAGGGAAAAAGCGAGGAAGGAAAATGGGGAAACTTGAAGAAAAGAAAAGAAAAGAAAAAAAAATGAGAAGTTTATAAGGAGAAAAAGAAAAAGAAAGAAAAAAGAAAAAATTGAAGAAAATTTTCTGCGTGCGTGTGTGGGGGGGCGTGTGCGTGAATGTGTGTGGAAAGATATCTTTTTATAAAACAATTTCAAACGATTTATTTACGTTTTCTTTTTCTCCTTTTTTTTTGTCTTCTCTTTCCTTTTTCTTCTTGCATCTTTTACCGTTTCTTTTTTTTTTTTTTTCCTTTTTCACTAACCTTTTCCATTTATTTATAACAACCTTTTGAAAATAAAATTAGTTTTATTTATTTTATTTTATTTCATTTTATTTTTTTTTATGATTATGATGATGATGATGATGATGAAATTTTCATTTTTATCACATAACAACAACAACAACAACAAAACTTCATTTATTTATTTTATTTATTTTTTGAAATCTCTTTTTCTTTTCTAAAATAAACTACAAATATATTTATACTCCTTCTTCGCATCCTTATAATAATAATGATAATAAATTTTTTTTGTAAGAAAACATACGCGCGCGTTAAAATTTAAATAAGTAAAACTAGTCTTTTAAAAAACAAAAAAAAAATGAAAATTTTTTTAAAAATTTTAAAAATCAAATTGGATACGGAAAATTTTAAGAAAATTTTTTTATTATTATCATCGTTTATTGTTTTTTCATATTGCCAATATTAACGACAAAAAAAATTTTCGTAAAATCAATCCTGCCAACTTAACAAAAAAAAATTTTCTCTCTTTTTAATTAATTGCTTTTTAATTTGTTTTTCGCGTGAAATACGAACGATAATTGATAACTTATTTGGTAATAAAATTTTTTTTATTTTTTATTTTTCTGTTTGTAACATTTCAAAGCGTGTTGAGTTGTTTGTTATTGTTGTTGTTGTCGTCATCGTCGTCGTCGTAATGACTACAATCATTTCCAAAAAAAAAAAAAGAAAAAAGAAACGAAAGGAAAAAAAAAAGAACAATTCCCCGCTGAGTTTTATTAAAATATATTTCACGCTGTGATAGATGACTTATTATCATTATTTTATTTATTAATAACTTACTTACATAAAATTTATGTATTATTAAAAAATAATAAAAATAAATGAATGAATGAAGTAATAACGACAAGTCAGTCATTACTTTACAACCACAACAAAAAAATTTTTTTTTACTTTCTACGACGACGACGACGTTGTTTGTCATCATCATTATTATTATTATTATTAGTTAGCAGACGAAAAAATTTGTTTTTTTTTTTTTTGTGCGTTGTTTTGTTTGGAAAAAAAAAAAATTATAAGAAATAAGGGAAGTAAAGACGATGACAAAGACGAGGATGACGACGAGAGTTAATAAAAGTCTTTGTTCTCGTAAATATTTCAACACACCAGTTGATTCCCACAGTTTTAAAAGAGCCAAAAACATTTGCTCTCATTTTTTTTTTTTTTTTTTTGTGTTAACCCCTTGATTAGTTAGTTCGATTCGAATCGACGCCATCTTTTTTTTTTTATCCGTTTCAGAAAGATTTCGAAACAAAAAGAGTAATAATAATAATAATAATAATGAATATTAGAAAGATGAATTACGTTGAAAAGAATATTCGAAAGATGAAAATTTTTTTTTTTTTTTTTTTTTTCATTAATAAATTCGCTACTTTTTTTTTTTTGTAATTTAAACAGTGGTGCCAACATGTTAGAAAATAAAAATTAATTTTTTTTTTGGTTTGAATTTTCCCAATAAATTCGTTTCGTTTTATGAGTAGAGATCGTTTGTTAAAACGAAAAACAAAATACGTTTTAGTTTTTTTTTTTTTTTTTTTTTTTTTTTTTATGAGTGCGTTTGTTCGTTTGTTGTTTGTTAAAAAAATCGTTTGTTTAATCAATCGAATGAAACAAACAATTATTATTGATTTTTTTTTTTTTTTTTCATTTAAAATATAATCGAATCATTTTAATTTTTATATTTTTATTAAAAAAAAAAAAAGTCGTTTGATTTTATTATATGAAAAAAAAAAAAAAAAAAAAATTAACTTAGTGGGCGACAAATTTAATTTCAGGGTTTCTCCATTTTATTTTATTTTATTTATCGATAGTTAATTGCCCTTTTTCGATTTCGATTTTTTTTTTATTTGGATTTTAATTGTGTTGAGTCCAATCAGTGTAAAATTAAGATTTTTAATTTTTTTTTTTTTTTTATAAAGGGTCGTAAAATAAAAAAAAAATTTGTCGTAATTAGGGGTTGATTATTGGGGTTCGAAGAAAAAAAGGAGGACTGGGAGGGAAGAGGAGAGGGAAGGGGAGGTGGAGGAAATTATCACTTATTTAATAATTAAATAATAACTTTTCATACGACAGGAAATTTTCTTTTTTTTTTTTTTTAAAAAAACCCCTCGTGAAAAAAAAAAAATTAAGATTTATTACTCTGTGTAAATTTAGACGTTATGATTTATTATAAAAAAAAAAAATTGTTCTAGAAGATTCCACGTCGGAAATTTAACGTCGTCGGTAAAATAGAAAAAAAATAAAACGAAACAAATTTTTTTTTAATGATATTAAACGATAAAAAAAAAATAAAAACGATTTAAAATTTAAAAAGAAAAAAATTTTTTTTGGTTTGTTTGTTTTTGTTTGTTGGTTTGTTTTTTTTGTTGTTGTTTGTTTGTACCGGAGAAAAATTTTTTTATCTCCTTCGTAAATTTAACCGATCAAAGTTGTTTTACACTACGAAAAAAAATGTTTAACGTATTAAGAAATTAAGATACGAATAATAAACGATTTTTAAATAAAAAAAAAGGAAAATTTCCTTTTTTTCTTTCCTTTTTTCTTTCCTTTTTTTTCATCATCGAATTTTAAATAAAAAAAATTTTTTTTTTTGTAAAATTAAACCTTTTACATTTTTCTTTTTTCTTTTTTTTTTTTTTTGCTTTCCATTTAAGAGAGAAAAAGGGTAAAAGCCAAAGGAATAATAAAAGAAAAAAAAGGAAAAGAAAAAAAGGAAAGAAATCTTCCCTTTTTTTTATTTTTATAACCATTATTATTATTAAAAAAGGTTTTTTTTTTTTTTATTCAATAATGTTATCGAAAACTCACAACTCAACTAACAAAAAAAAATATAATAATAATAATAATGATAATAATAATAATAATAAATTAAATTTTTATACTTTTTACCTTTGAGTAATTATTACTAAAGCCAAAAGTAATAAAAAAAAATTATATAATATATATATAAATAAAAGTAAAAGAGCACATAGAAAAAAAGAAAAAATGGAAAGAATAAAAGGAAAAAAAGAAAAGGAATGAGAAAAAAAAGGAAAAAAGGAGGAGAAAAAAAGGAATTTTTTTTTTCAAATCGGTGAACAATGTTATTGTTGTAAAAAATAAATTTCGTAAAACTTTTCCTTTTTTTTTTTATCTTAAACGTACAGAAAGAGAGAGAGAGAGAGAGAGAGAGAGAGAGAGAGAATAAAAAATATTATGACAAAGATGATGATGATGATTACGAACACGGACGTAATAATAATAATAATAATGATGATTTCCTTCTCCCCCCTCCCCGATTTTTTCGTAAACGACTGAAAATAATATAAGAAAAAAATGATGATGATGGTTATGAGTGTAAACCTTACATCGATTTATTAATATTTAAAAAAAAAATCATCGTTTGTTCGTTTGTCTGTTTGTTTGTTTGTTTGTGTAAAACTTTTAAAAAAGAAAGAAAATAAATTAATAATAATTATCGAAATGATAATAATAATTAATTAAACGCGCCCGTACGCACTCATTTCATATCGATAAATAATTAATTAACAAGAAATTTCAATCGAATGAATAAGCGGGGGGTTGGGTGTGGAGGATGGGGGTGAGGGAACCACTGAAGAAGAAACACGATGATGATGATGATGAGTGTATCTAAATGGAAAGTGATGGCGGAAGATTAAAATAAAACGCCAGAAATAAAACGAAGAAAGAAAGGAGCGAGAAAGAAGATGCTGGAAGGGGGAAAGATGTGGAGGGAAAAGGATTCCTTTTTGGATGCTCATTGTGGTGGTGGTGGTGTGAGGGCGAAGGGGTCGGGGTTGGGGGGGGGGTAAAAGAGAAAAGTAAAAAGGAAAGATACGGTTTTATAAATGTTATTTTCGCCACATTTCACGAGTTTTTCTCGAGATAAAATTTTGTAACCAGAATATTATTTTTCTCTTTCTTAATTTCATTTCATTGAATGATAAATAATTAATTGTCTTCGAATGAACAAAGGAATGAAAAAAAATTCCTTTTTTTTTTATCCCCTCCCTTTTACTGTTTTTTTCCTTTTTATTTTTTATTTTGATTTTTATTATCATTATCGTAATTATCATAATTTTTTGTTTTCTTTGCAGGAGTATTAAGTGATAATAAAATCCCACTTCGTCAAATCAATGAAGTAAACGAGCCATCATTTGCAATTGCCGGACGAACATTTAAAATAGTCATTAAAGACACGGTTGTTTTACCATGCGAAGTCAGTAATTTAGGTAAGTTTTTTCATTTTTAATTTTTTTTTTTTTTTTACCTTTGACCTTTTTTTTGGGGGGGGGGGGCACAGGAAAAGAAGTGTCGTAGAAAATCATTTAATTCCAAACTTTCTCAATTTTTTTTTTGGGGAAGAAGAAGGAGGAGGAGTAGGGAGTGGTAAAAGAATAATTTAAAAAAAAAAATTTATTTAATTTTATAATCCATAATCGTTAAAAACAAACGAAAATTTTTTTTTTTTTTTGGAAACAAACGACGACAAACAATCGAACAATTTGGCATGAGTCAAATTTTTATCATTATTATTATTATTATTTTTATTTAAAAAAAAAAAAAAAACGTGCCAAATAATATTTTTATGCCAATCATAAAAAAAAAAAAATAATATCGACTGTGTAATTTTTTGACAGTTTTTCCAGAAAATTTTTTTTTTTTTCCTTTTCTTCTGCTTTCATTGTTATCATCATTATCATCATCATCATCATCATCACCATCGTCGTCGTAATGAAATTTAAGACATTTTTTTTTTTTAACTGTCAGGTGAGAGAGAGAGAGAAAGAGTTTTGATAGGTAAACGCACAAAGATAACTGTCACATTTCTTGTCTCTAATGTAATGCGTGTGCATGTGCGTGTGCGTGTACGTGTGAGACTAATTTAATTTCTTTGCCAATCATTTTCTTTTTAAAAAAAAAAATTTTTTTTTTCAAGTGTCGCCATAACGTCTGTCTGTCGCATATTAAAAATTTATCGCCGTAAAAATAAATAATTTTTTTTTGTTTGTTGTTTTTTTTGTCGTAAAATAAATTAAATGGTTGTATCCGGTGAAAGATTTACAGAGAAATTTTTTTGGTCGTAAATAATTTGTTTAAATTTATTTTTGTTAACAAAAAAAAAAAAAAAACACGTTGGAATATCATTTTTGAGACGATGAAAAAAGTGCGTGTGGCGTGCGTGTCGCAACTCTACAAAACCGAATTCGTTAATGTAACGAAAGTTAATTTTAATTGATTTTTTTTTCTTTGGGAAGGGAGACGAAGGTAGGGGATGAAGAGAGTGGTGGTGGTGGTATTAGTGGTAGGGAGGCGATGGAAGAGGGGGAATGGGAAATACCGTTATTATTATTATGAATAAATTATTATTCATTGTTATTAATTATCTTTTTTTTCTTTTTTAATTATTATTGCCGAGGTTTTCGCCATTTTACTTTTTTTTTTTTTTTAATTAAAAAGTTATAATTGTTAATAATGTATGTAACCTTTTTTTTTCTTTTTTTTTTTTTTTTTTTGTTAATTATTTTA